GGTGATGCGATCAGATGTAGGATGGTATAAATGCTTTGCTTACAACAGCATGGGCAATACATCATTGCTGGTGTTCCTTAGCCTGAGTGATGTCCCATTTCGCAACTTGTATGCAGAAAGCCTTCTTTTTGGCTTCGCTTGTGCTGCCCTCTTCCTTCTGGTCACTCTTATTGTTCAACTAGTCAACTACCTCTTCGACAGGTAACTTCATATTATTTATATACAGTACTACATAAATGTGTGTTCCATTTAGATAAAATTTGTAGTTTTGAGAAAAATCCATTTATAGAACTGCATAGATCAAACTAATTTGCTTCTTAAAACATTAAGTCATCTCAGCTGACAGTGTTATGTAATACTGTGTATGACTAGTTTTCCAATAATTAATTTACTCTTAAATATTTATTTTATTTCTTTCAGAATGGGATGGGAATGTTGCTGCTGTAAAGACCGGGTATCTCCTAAAGCTCGCCAGATTAAGAAATTACTAGAGAGTGTTGAGGCATACAAGTCTCAGCAACTTGACAGATTGAGAGAAAACTACAATGGCCAGGTTAGAATCAACTGAATTTTTGCCAGTTTCTTCTTAACATGAAGCTTCATTCAAATAAGCATCTTAATGTCATCCTCCTGAACTTTATTTTTTCCCCCCTGCTAGGTGGTGAGCATCAAGGAAAGCTGCTATCAGCAAATGGAACGTATTAGAGAGAGTTACAGTAGTCAGGGCAAAAATCTTAGGGACCTTCGAGACTACAGTACACAGGGTCTTACATCCCTGAGGGACCAGTACCTTGATCAGGTGAGTTGCTTCAATATTTTATATCTACAAACAGTAGATAAGGGTTACTTTAATTTCCATTATTTAATTATAGTTTTTTAATGTCCTCATGTGATGTATCAACTTCAATTTTTTTTATTTTTGTATTAGTAACTAATCAGTTTAATCCAGTTAAGTATATTTCCAGACTATTCACATGATTTATGCAAGCATTCTATATTTCCAAGTAAAATGATCAGGTTACCATCTTGTGCTCTACAAACTATTCCAGGTCAATAAGGTGCGGGACTACTCTGTATCGCAGATGAATAGGGTAAGAGAAAACTATGTGTTTCAACGCCACCGTATTCGAAAATTTAGTGCTCACCAACTACTAAGGCTTCGAGAAACATACAAATACCAACAGAAAACACTCAACAAGATACTGGAAAATCTGCCAGATCTTTACCTGCAAAATTGTAGAACTGGAGGATGTCAACGTACAGACTCCATACTGTTTGACGATGCTCTTAATGGAATAGATGCTTACTACAAAGTTGACTTCTTAGATACACAGAGTCACAACTCTGATTACTACACACCAGCAAGCACACTCACACGTTCATTCCGATCCTCAAAAGGCCATGACCCTACTAAACAACATTCCCGAACTTCTTCCAATACGTCTTGCGATTTTGTTGAAGCTCAACCTTGGGTAAGGCGTGACTCTAGTGCAGTAAGCGGGAACAGCCCATCTCACACTTTCCCAGCACTCTTGAGAAGTCATAACCGAAGTCTGAGTGTGGCTGGCCCTACTCCTTATGTTTCTGATCCTGTGAGGGTGCATAAGCGTAGCTTAAGTGCCAGTCATCCCTCCCACAAAGTAGCCCCAGTACCCGAGGTGAGGGGCATTCCAGCAAGAATTGCTTTACGTGAAGAAGCCAGTGATTATAATCTAAGGACATCGTTAGGCTCGCCTAACTCAGCTCCGGGTACTCCCACTCTTATTGGCAGAATAAGATTAACGTTTGATAATGAAAAGTCACCCCTGTCTCAAGCAAAGGATCAAAGTATGAGTATCCCCAGAGAAAACTCACCAAAAGTTAGAGAAAAGTCCAGCAACAGTGATGAAGCCTTATCTAGCAATACTAGTGTGTGTGTAGATTCTAAAGTTGCCAATGACAGTGAAAATGCTGTCCATAATGAGGATGACACACTACTGACCACAGTGACTGATGATAATTGCAGCAATTCATCATCATATGAAACATCCCTGTAGCATAAGCTTGTCTCAGTATTAAATGAACTGGTGCAAGTAATTTGTGTCTGGTTATACTTCTATTAGGCATTATTAGGGTCAGTATCTTTCACATACTGTTGTAGTAATGGGAATGTCATGTATTTGCAGTAAGTGATTTATTATTACCAAACATGCCTATCCCATATTAAGCCCTTAAAATTATCAAGTCTATGAGTGACATAGTGAGACCACTTGTGCCAACGTTTGTTTGTAATTAGAAGCCTGCAGAGGACTGGGCCTAATTAAGTAAAGGCAGGAAATTTCCTGGTCCCCCCCCCCCATGCAGATATCTAATTGCTATTCTAACGTGTCATTGCCTCATCCTAAATATCATTCATATATTTTCAGGTTAGTGCCATATGCAATGGAACCAAATTACCATCACATTATTTTTAGGGTTGTTATTTGCATAGTTAAAGAATATAAGTTCCAGTAGAAAAGAAGTTTTATTGTCCACTCATTAATACTTATTTACATGGGAATTAATACATTTTCCTATGAAAGTTCATGAATGGTACTTTTTTCTTTTTTTGAGACTGTTAACACAAAATGTGCAGTACAAATATGATACACTGCAAATAGAAAAAAAAATTGGAGATTACGTTAATCTTGATACTGTTGCAAGTTAATAATGAAAAAATATATGATCAAATCTTTGATAACAATATACAACAGAATAAGATTTCATATTTAAACCCAATCCAAATTGTTAACATTTACACTAAAGCAGGATACTAACATGGCATTACAAAGGTGGCATTCTTTTAGAAACAAGTGTAAAAATAAACACTCCAAAAAGTATGGTTTCATTTCAGAAATAATTGCTAGCAATTTTATATAAAAATCTTAAACTTGGCTTCTTAATAAAGCCTTAATTAGAAAAAAAAGCCACAATTTTACTTTATAAATAAATTTAAGGAGATAGTGAATTGCTTGTGATATCGGAATTATTCATTAAATAAGCATAATGGAAACAAAAATAAATGGGTGCAAGTATGCCAGATAATTATTCCAGTAGATTTCGAGAATAAAAACTAAATAAAGCAAACCCTTGATCCAAAGAATTGAGCTACCCTCCCTTTCCTTGGATTGAATCTGACTTGACTCCCATCCCCCAAGGTGCTGTATTACCCCTATGGGTTAAGTGCTTCCCCACAAAATAAACAAATACACAAGGTAGTTTTTATTTAAGAAAAAGTTGTGTGTGTGATGAGCTTTATCAGCAGTCTTTGCCATAAGTTCACTATTGGTTCATTAATTATACAGTAAAATATTTTAACTAATGCATCATCATACGATCTTCAGTAGCTTACGGAATGTAACAAAACTGATATTGTAGTTCTGACTGGCAAAGATTGACAAGAAAAAAGTTGCAATACATTCACTATAATACTCCAGACATTAAAATGTACAAATATTAAAAACTGTGTTGTATAATTTGTGGGTTCATCTACATTCATCCAAGCTGGTAATATACAAATTCTAAATAATTTTTACTAGATTAGACCTAAATATCTATGAGGAAATATAAGAAGGGTACAGAACCTCTTCTTTTTCCCCACCTGTGGTTCTCTCTCTACACTGGCACTATGACCGCTGAATGTTTCTGGTATATTTTTTTTACTCACTATATGCCCTTTGAATGACTAAGTCAACTCGTGGTGAACTGATGACAAATTACATAGTAATTAAACAATGGCTAGCAACATCTTCATATAGGAAATGATGAATTATTATTCAGCATATATTTTTAGCTGTGGTATTTTACAACAAACACCTCAAGGGAGGGGCTCTTCATTCAAGGAACTGGACTTCCCATTCCTCGAATCAAGCCTGAATGCCTTCCATTCCCCAGGAACTATATGGTCCCTACAGGTTTAGCACTTCCCTTTGACTAAAATAAATCCAAGAGCAATTGTATAACTGAGGTATTTAATATTCATAAAACAAATTTACCACACTGGGTATCAACTACAGAACCTCCTAAATAATACAAGGACTTTGCACTACCTTTCAGTACTTTACACTTGTGTTTATGCTAATTTAACACAAACATTATGTTGACTACAGCAGATGTGCCTACACAGGGCAAAGACATGTTCATAAATATATCTGGAACTACTACTAACTGGTATCAAGACATTTGCAGGTTGTGTGTTTTGAAATATGAAGAATATGGAAGAGTTCCTCAAGAAAAGGCCTTAAGATGTGAAGAAAGCCAATTAGAGATTCTTCAAACATACCAAAATAAATTACATGACATCAAAACTAACTATCGAAAGTAAAGTCATTCTATACGACTATTGTTAGTTTTTTCTTTTTACAAAAGTACACTCATTTACCCTCACTACCTATTTGTACATTATTATGTACATGTATTTATGTTATAAATATTTGTTATTTTCAAGTACATCAAAGAGCAAATCCTTAAAAATTAAGAACTTTTCTGCTTTCAGTGTAAAGAATGTAACCATCAAAACTTAAATGAATTAAGTCAGAAGAAATTCAGATAAAAAACTGAAACATGCTTAAATTTTTTTTTTTTTTATCATCACTGGCCGATTCCCACCAAGGCAGGGTAGCCCGAAAAAGAAAAACTTTCACCATCATTCACTCCATCACTGTCTTGCCAGAAGGGTGCTTTACACTACAGTTTTTAAACTGCAACATTTACACCCCTCCTTCAGAGTGCAGGCACTGTACTTCCCATCTCCAGGACTCAAGTCCGGCCTGCCGGTTTCCCTGAACCCCTTCATAAATGTTACTTTGCTCACACTCCAACAGCACGTCAAGTATTAAAAACCATTTGTCTCCATTCACTCCTATCAAACACGCTCACACATGCCTGCTGGAAGTCCAAGCCCCTCGCACACAAAACCTCCTTTACCCCCTCCCTCCAACCTTTCCTAGGCCGACCCCTACCCCGCCTTCCTTCCACTACAGACTGATACACTATTGAAGTCATTCTGTTTCGCTCCATTCTCTCTACATGTCCAAACCACCTCAACAACCCTTCCTCAGCCCTCTGGACAACAGTTTTGGTAATCCCGCACCTCCTCCTAACTTCCAAACTACGAATTCTCTGCATTATATTCACACCACACATTGCCCTCAGACATGACATCTCCACTGCCTCCAGCCTTCTCCTCGCTGCAACATTCATCACCCATGCTTCACACCCATATAAGAGCGTTGGTAAAACTATACTCTCATACATTCCCCTCTTTGCTTAAAGTAGGAACAATATGTTATGCTAATACAACTAGCAACTTCAAAAAAAGACTAAAATGAAACCAGCCTACAAGAAACGAGTGTGATTTTTTTTTAATGCAATGACCTACAGTATTTACAACTTGCATCTCCATGAGCAGCCACATTAATAAACAGTATTGTAGTATTATCTGGGAGGTATCAGGACTACAGAAAAGCTGACAAGTTGGCTGAAGGCACTATGCAAAAATGTCTGAACAATACTGAGAATCTATCAAATATGATTCAACACACAAGAATTTTCATCCTCTCAGAAAGTCATTCTATACACACATCACTTTTCTTCCAATGTTCTTCATCACTTCCTTCCTATACCCTCTGAATTTGTCGCTTTTTTTTTTTTTGCATTCTTGCTCTCATTACTTGCATAGTATACCCAATCATACAACCTGGACATGTAGGGGTTATCGACTGGTGAGAACGAGAATGTATTCATAAAAGTATATGTACGTAATATATTTCATTATATTAATTTTAAAGACTTTCAAAAATAACATGAAAATAGTGATGTAACAGGCTCTGGCATTAATATTGCTTGTGAAACCCTTAGGCAAAGATATTTCAAAGTTAGCATGCTTTGTTTTTAATACTATACTGTACAGGTCTCCTTCCACATTCGCGAGGGTTAGGGGATCAAGTGTAGCATTAACAGTGTAGCAAGTAAGTTAAGTGATTAATCGATAGAATTATTATTATTATTATAATCGAAAAGAAGCGCTAAGCCACAAGGACTATACAGCGCTGTTAATCGATAGAAAAAGAACAGCACGAACCTAACTCCTCCAATGTTGTTGGAGTTATATAGGGCAACTGACAACACAGCTGTCTCTAGCCTTTACCACCTCCACCACCATGTAAGGCCTATGCCTCTGGCCCTTATATACCCAACAGCAACACTCATGAAATAATGACAATTTTATTCATTCTAGAGTATAGGTTATGTTTCTATGTTATTAATATTGTTTATTATGTCATATTAGGTGAATTGTGATAGATAAATAAGCTGTAGAGCTGATACTAGTGTCATATTGAAGGACTATCTTGTCCTATATCCAAACTCTGCCACCACCACAATTCCTAACATATGTAATGACATATTTTAAATATGATTGGGCGGCTGGGAATTCACGAATGTTCGAAGCCTGTGAAAGTGGAAAATGCTAATGTTGAAGGAGACCTGCAGTTCTTATTAGGTAACTCAGTAGAGGTACCTATAAGTGGTTGATTGATTTTTTTCCCTGTAAAGTTTTCTATATAATCTGGGAATGTCTAATGTACAGCTTCAAATTTTCAATACTGTACCCACTAAAAGGTTCATCAACTATAGTCTTGGCCTATGCAGGTGCCTCCGTGTAAATTTTACACATACAATTTTTAATTTTTATTTCCATGTGGCACCTTAAGAAAGACTCCTTTGACTTACAATTTTCAATACAGTGGAACCTCTGCTTATGAGCACCCCACCATGCATGTTTTTCAAGATATGAGCTGTCACTCAATCGATTTTTTGCTCCTGGATACGAGCCAAAATTCGGGTTGTGAGCTTCCCCCTCAAGGGAGGTTCCTTGATGCTGGTGAGGGGCTCTTGATCTAGGGAATTGTATCTGTGCTCCAGTTCCCTAAATTAGGCCTGAATACCTTCCCCCACAGGTGCTGTATAATCCTACAGGTTTAGCACTTCCCCATTATAATAATAATACTAAAATATAATATGTATAATAATATAATATTACTATAATAATTATAATAATACTGTAATAACAAGTGAGCTTCAGAATGCAACAAAACAACAAACGCCACCACTAGATGGCACAGTGAATATCACAACGCTCACTATCACCAGTGAAAAGCATGGAGAAAAAGCCAAAAATCAGTGAAAAGTGAAATGAAAAAAAATTTGTAGCAGTTCAGTGATAAAGTGTAACATTAAGAGTGTAACAAGTAAGTTAAGCGATTAGGCAATAGAAAAAGGGCGAAACGAAATGAACTCCTCCATTATTGTTGTTGTTATTGTCGGGGTTTATAGGGCCACTGACAACATACGCCACTCTGCCTATTTTTTCCACTGTCAACCTTCATCAGCATCTCTTCTCCAAGGTAAGTGCTGTATGTACACCAGTTTTTTTCTTTACATTCTCTATTACTATGTTTTATTATGTTTTTATACAATATT